TCGTATGTCGCCGTATGAGTTCCCTTTATTATAATCGTAAGTATATATAAGTTAACCTTGGCGATGTTTCTAACGTTAATAAAAAATACATTTCGCAATGCATAGTTGTACCTTAGATAACACCTATTTTTAAAATGATTCTTATTCTCAACCAAACTTTGTAAAACTTGTCTCAACACATGAAATATACACACAATTCCATATCATCTTTATAACAAATAATATATATGCTTATCATATATTCTTTTTAAATATTGTTGGCAATTAATCTCAAATCAATATATGATATTGCTGTGAAATATTTTATCAATTCATACTGGAAAAATGAAAGAAGAAAATTGATAAAATTAATGTTTTATAATAATTATTATTATTATTATAAAAGCATTATGAAAATGGCAATCGTTCAGAAATTATTAATAATAATATTAATCTTATGTTTTAAAAGGCATGTACATATTGGTTTTCTTCCTTCTAAAACGTTTTTAGTCTATTAAATTCATGCAACATAACTAAAAGCTAATATATATATATATTTCATTTTTTTTCCATTTTTACGAATATTCAAAATTGGAATGGATTGTTTAAAAAAATTTGAAATGGAAAGTATAAGCTATCGAATGTGTAGTAACAACTCCGGAATTCACAGTAAAGATTTAGAGATGATAAGAATATCAATATTATTCACAAAAAATGCATTGCTAGTTTAAAATTTTGATTTTGTTGAAATTATGTTATCCTTCAAATGATAAACTTCCATAAAAATATATTGGATAGGGAGTAATTTTTACTGTCAAAAGTTGTGCACTAAATTTTGTCAAATGAATATTTATGGAGATCTTTATTACAGTATGATTTTAATTTACACATTAAACAAATATAATATTTAGTTATATTTTGAATAAATTCATATCATTCACTTGTCAGTTTCAATAGTAGAAAACCTCTTATATAACTTCCAATTCCCCTAAGCCTTCATCATATTGATTCTAGATACGATCGAAAAGTGTGGTCATAAATCGTAAACATAATAGAATCGCTGTCCTGTCTACGGTATCGATTTCTTTTCTCTTTTTTTTATTTATTTTTTTCTTTCTTTCCTTTTTTATATCCAACCTGAATTAGTGTTTTTGTGTTTTACTTGACGTTGATATCGTGTCTTTAAACAGAGACCAATTTTTTTTTTGTTTTTTTTTTTTGTTAGACATCAAACTCATTGTGTATTGATATGTTAAGAATTCAATAACATAACGCTTGATTTGATGTATTCTTGCATATACATACATATTCATATTTTGTACGTTCATGCTGATTTCTAAAGCTGGATGATCAAAGTTATATTACCCGACGAAAACATATGGGTTTTTTTTCCATTCGATGTTCTTAAAAAGGAAAAAAATGACGATATATGTTTTTCGAGGAAAACAGTTCATTGTTAAAAAATGTGTTGGAGAAATATTATTGGTAAAAAAGATATGATGGACAGCACTCCACAAAGACTGTACAAAAGAAACACAACTTAATAGCACATTTTAATACAAATTTAGATAAGATCATTTGTATAGAAGAGCCATATAATGAATCTAACTGCATCATACAGCTGTTTCGTCCTTCTAAAAGTGGTCAGTGATGCTAAAGGCCTAAATTCGAAGTCTAGAATGCGACTAATGAAAAAAGTGAGCAGGTGCACTAGCCCTATAATTCAATAAATTTCGTAATTCTTATGTAGAGAGTTATCCCTAAAATGTCTTTTGAAATGAACATCACATTCAAAACGAGTTGTTATAAAACATTAAGAAGCCAAATCCGAAAAGCTTTATGAAATATATGTTGATTTTCACATATGGATTGATGGAAATGCTTAAAAGATATTACTTACAATCGATAAGATATGTTTCCAGTATCAGTAACACTTTGGCTAAATTTGCTGGAATTAGAAATGCTTCTAAACAATCCACCAAGCTGTCCCCATTGCATGCCTTTGTTTTACTAATTCTCCAAGTAACATCCAAGACAATATAAATATGGTGACTATAGGGTATTGTCATATAAAATTCTGTTTTGTTGATTTTTAATGTTGTGAGCATCAATGCTTTTCTCATATAAACGGTCCTAAAAACCTGCGAGTAGGGACATAAACTCAATCTGTTTTCCATCCAGAGGGACATATATTTAGCGAAGCCGCTTGTGAACCCGGCTAAGAGACAGGTGCATCCATGGTTGCCGTAGTATATACCTAGAAGGACAATTTTTGACCAATTATTTTCATAAAATTTTACCTGCCTATATTAAGAATTTGTTGATATAAAGATAATGATTTTGTTGTGCTTTGCCCAATCCTAAAGCGTTACGATACAATGAATGGCCGCCTTAACAGATGCCAATCTAAGCCAAGTTAAGTGTAGGTTTATGACTACCGGAGTGATACTGTCTCGTACGAGTCGTGTGACGGACAGCTACCTCGCTTTGTTTCAAAAGCGGCCGAAAAGATATTTTCCTCGGCTCTGAACAACGTAAAACTTTACGAGAATTCTAGTTCGTAAAATACCGGTCATTTTATATACTCTGTAACTTTTTTATATGCAAGAGAAGATATCATATTTATTTTCTTCTACTCTTTTTTGTTTATTATTATTATTTCGGTTACTTGAAGGTTATGTTAGTATTCTTGATGTAGGTATAACTGAACAAAGGCACAAATAGTTCTTTTCAATACTTGATGTTTTCAAACGGTACGAATTAATTATTATTTCATTACAAGTAAGTTGTAAATACCAGGGTTTGTGATCTTGTTCTCAATTCAAATCTTGAGGTTCAAAAAACAATCGACAATATGATCTCTGCTATTGTAACTTTTTGTTATAAACTCTCTCAGTTTTCTCTATACATTCTATCGATTGACTTTTGTTTTTGAAAGAGTTAATTTAAATTATCAATAATAGTCCATATTTTGTCTCAGAATTTTAGCACATCTATTCTGACAGCGTGTTTATATTCAATGATTAATAATAATTAAATTGGATCTAAAACATTTGTATCGAGTATAACAATATAAATTGTTTACAAAAAAGTCTATTTATATTAAGATATTCATTAAAAGTTTTTAGTTGATCTTATTTGTTTTTTCAGGGTCGCAATATTGTCTGAGGTCATATATAAACCTGGCGGACAGCGTCGACAAGAGAGTTAATTGGAAAATATATATATACATCCCAAATGCTTCGTTTCATTGGACACTTCATGAGAAAAAGCCAATCCCCTCTCAATTGTCTTTTCGATATTATTCAAATAGATTCTTTCGACTAACGTGTTGCTTCCAGGCACATCATACATTTTTCATTAACCTCACATTCCATATAATTGTTAGGTTACGATGAAAACAACATTTTTGTATATTTCATATTTATGCATTGCGTTTTGGAAGTACACAATATTGAAATCAGTTATTTGCAAATTGGTCAATAATTTGAAATGAATAAAATGGTAATAAATGTGAATTCGATGTATTTACCAAAAACAATATAAAAAGATTCGAACATGTCTTATTTGAATTTATAACAGCTGCTTGAAACTAGAATTGGCTAATTTCCCGACTGGATTCACCAAAGTTCATTAAAGATTTGTAACTCTTATATATATGCAGACAAATATTTCTATTTAAGAATTTTCCTCTTAGGTCTATTTTGTTTCTTTTTAATGTGTTTGAAACAAATAAATGAAGAATTTCGTATTCATTTAACTTATCTTTACTTGATTAATTCCAAATTGTTTTCTGTACATGATCCCAGCACTTATATCTATAACTTCAATGAAACTTTAGTGCTGAATCGATGTTTTCTGGAAATATTATCATGTTTAGTAATTTGTCTATCAATATCATAGTTGCTCAATATTGTGTTGATAACCTCCTTGCCATAGAATGTCAATAATTCATGAATAGCTGAAAACTCTAAAACATCCTTTGACATGCACGAAGTAGGAAACGTTTGACATTAATCGTCTCATTGTGTTGGAATAAGTATAAACAACATTCGGTAGCACTTTGATATCATTTTTCGTGATGTAGGTGTGGTTTTTACTAATTGAGGTCGAGGATTCTCTCAAGCACTGGCCGCCTTGAAGTTAAAGCTTTCGAAAGATATACAGTTTCACAGTTCCACAGACATCCGTTTCAAAGCAGATAAGAAATATTTGTTTTGGTAAAATTAAGAAATAAAAATGTACAAATTCGTGTATATGAACATGCCAAACAGAATATAAGCAAATCTCCCAGTTGAAAGCATCCCCGTGAGAGGTCTTTAGATTGGATCGTTGCCTTGAAAGGTTGTCTGTTCCCTATCGTCTGCTTCTATCAGGTCGACTCTCCAGCACTGCGCGGGAGATAAAGGATAGTGGCATGGTTTTTGTCATGTCGTGATGTGTTGTACAGAATGGTACATTACGCGATAGTGTTCCTTCTCGGCTTTGGCGGCTGATCTCGGTACCAATCCAAATGATAGATCCTGGGAGGTCATATCAAAACGGACAAGCCAACGACTAGTTTTTGTTCTTTACTTGACAACATTTAGACGTAGCAAATCAGAGAGATATTGTAGAGATTGATGTTTCGATAATACATGTAAATAGGTCAAGGATTTTATGAAACATAAGATATCTATTCGATTGAAAAGTATTTAAGTTTGCTACATTATCATAGCACATTTACAATATTCGTGAAAGATATTCTAATATGAAATAAATATTATTAGTATATTACACACGGATTGTATTGCAGCATGTTTTACATTATATTTCCAAATCTGTGCGCTACTCCTAATTCATCTATATGCAATATATTGTGCATACATCGCATATAACACACATTTTTTGATATTCTAGAAAGTGCAAAATTACCAATCTTACAATAACCCTGTTACATAGAAAATTGTATATGCAGTTCAGTTTTGAAAATAATGTTAATCAATTGGTACCTGATGCTGTAAATGTATGAAGAATCTTACCATCTGCCATGAAGAAGTCGAAAACACACGTCAAAATAGAGAAGAATGTTCAAAATCACCTGTTTTCTTCTGCATGCAACACTCTTATGCAGACTTCCTGTACATGTTATGTCACCTATTTACCTGTATGTACTGATGAAGATCAATTACTAAAATGCTAAATGTGAAGTACATTCATACATAATGTATGTATCATTCGCATCGAGACATGGATATGCTAATGTGCATTATGTCATCATACATGTGCATTAGACTACACATTCAATAGTGCGCTTATGAATTATTTGCATCAGTACTACTTAAGTTGATTATTTAGATTTGAATGTTGAACACTGCACATTTAAGAAATAAGATAATTTAGTTAAATATTTTATTCTTTATTCAGTCGTTTTGACATATCTTTTGGTTGAAATTTTGTCCTTGAATTCATTTAGTTTGTTTTGATTACATATATGGTTTATGATTTCCCCTGATACACAAACGATGGTTTTTCAATCAATTGTACCAGTCTAGCACGAACACAATTATATCTGCCCTGTGAACTTTTTACTTAATTCCTTTATCGGAAATGACCTTGACATACACGATGATGACGAGGACGACCTACTGTAAACTTGTATGATAATAATGATTTAAAGTTCATTTTCTTCTTTTTTGATAGAAGCATCCCTACTTTCTGAACGTCTCGATGGAAGGAGGTTAGCAAGCACTATGAGAACGTTTTATCAACATCATCATGGTGGTGTTACTTTCACGTGCAGTAAAAGGCTTGGCGTGTTTTATCACAACCTAAGTTTAAATTGACTTACCTAATTTTCCAGGAACATAGTGAATTAAAACCTCCCAATACTACTGCAACATGCCCTTTCTATGCCTCTTACGTCTTTATAGCTATAGTCTATGTATGCCCTTGGCGGCAATTAGTTGATTAAGAATAAATAATTAGATTGACGTAATCTGATAGATTTCGAAATTTACACAGAAAGACAGGCGCGCGAATTTTTTTTTACTATTTTTACAGTAAATGAAAGCCAAACAAGTTTCCCTCAGGGGTTTACAATTTTTTGCCCAACTTTAATCATACCTTTATTCATTCATTTGCAATAAAGACTGTATGCTTTATGCATATTTAACAATTGCAATGACATGTTGTTAATGACTCAATAATACATACACAAATTGTGAATGTTACAGCATAATAATTATACACATTTACAGGAAACACATGCCTTCACAACAGCAAGTGTGGGAGACAGGATTACAATGCGCGTTAATGGGACAAAATATCATATTGCAAGCGAAGAATGTAGGAAACATCATAACTTGAGTTACACATTATTAAATCAGATCCTATGCCTTATTTCAATTGCGTTTTAACAAAACTCTGTAAACTTTTGAATTATAGAATCGTTTTCAGTATAAACCAATTCATCGTTTCTATGCGGTCTGTCATAACATTTGAATTAGTTGCAGAGTACAACGGACATTCAATTACAAAATGGTATTCACCTTTTAGTTGAGTATATAAAGTGCAATATAGCATGTTTGCCTAAGTTAGGTTGGGTTTGTCCCATCTCCCTCTATATTTAACCGAAACTCGAAGCGTTATTTAAGAGTTTTGAAATTTAGCATTAGTTATATCAAGATATTTATTATAACAAAGTTCATTCGATAAGAAATAAAACTATTGGCTCTTGTCGAGCGCATTTTGCCAGTCCTGCATAAAAATATCTCTAAACTCAAATAATCAGAAAAAAAATATTCATATCTAATTCCAAAATATATACAAACGCCAGGGCTATAGTTTGATTATAAGGATACGACATAACCAAAAATATTTCTGATTGAAGACGTTATCGTACCCTCTGCATGCAATACTGGCAGTAAAACTGTTACATTGTTTGTTAGATTTACTTTATCGGTTGGTCCGTGATTCATTTCTCACAGTTTCACTAGAAATACAGAGAAATATATCTTTTATATCATATAAACAAATTGAATAATACACTGTATATAAAAGAACTCAGTGATATACGCAAAGCGTTTAACAGGATTATTTCCAGTCAGATACGTGATTCAGAACATCCCCCAACCATTGTGTGATTTGTTTTGATTTTGTCTTTCTCTATGATGCTTTTCATGATCAGCAATTCAACATAATATCTAAAGCCTACATTAGCATCTTTGAACCCAAGCATCCAGTGCATTAAAAACTTGGAAATTGGTTTAAAATTGTCTCGAATTGTAAACACGGAACTTGCTACTACAATATAGCATTTTGCGTAATGAAATCATTTAGAAAGTATACCCTCGTTTTACTATTTAGTGGAATATCATTGTAATTTAATTTCTTTTATTATGGTATGTTACTTTGATAATTGATACAGTTTTGCCTCTGACATTCAAACATAAATGGAACACAAAGCCTCTGGTTCTGAAGTGTTGGTCACTATATGATTTAGCCTTGCTTTTTTTGACAGCAGCATATTAAGCTTAATACTCTTTTATTTCCGATTAGCCTTTTTATGACATGGGATACTTAAACTGTCATCACATAATGCTAAATCAGTCTGGAACCAGAATAGACCAAATTATTTTACGTATTTTCGGTTATTTTTCCTACCTAAGAGCAATTATCAGATCAAACTGTCTGTGATGCAACGTCCCTCGGTAATGTTGGCTGTCTTGTGAAATGTCCCTGTAGACCTTATATGTCATAAACTGCATGCGTAACTGTCAAAATGCTTGGTTTTCTAGCGGATATGTCAGAGTGACTTCTAAATTAAGTAAATGAAAGGGAGTTATTATATAATTCACTTGTTTGATCAAAACCATAAAAAAGTATATATTTGACAGTTCATCTGATATAAGCCATTTGAAGCCCTAGAACTGTCTAAAAGGTTGTGCTAGTACAGCATATTAACAAGAAATTTCGCCCGATCTACAACCAACTATCCTTTGGATATATTTAGGGAGTGATTCAAAGTCAATGACACGATTTACAGGTAAACCTTTGTGTACTGCATTAACAACGGAAATTAACATGTTCTCAAAATTAGAACATATGCTATTTAATCACTAGTAGGCATTTTGGAAAACGCAGAAATTTCTAGCTTAATGTTGTACAATTTATCTTAAATACAGCAATTAGTTTCTATTTATTAGTTAAAAAATGTTGATAATTCATTCACATTACAGTGAAACAAATAACGTATTTCAATAGTGTCTATATAATTCTGTTTATTTGAAGATAAATCTGCTTGTCCATCACTCGAACTAAGTTTCCATTCAGGGCGTATATCACTCTGATATCAAGCATGCTATAGATCTAAATTCACAAAGCACACAAACTGAAGCAGTGTACGTTCCCTAAAGGGCCCCGCAAGCTATTATTCTGTACTCATTTCTTTGTAAAAGATGTCCATGTGACAGAATCCAATCTTTCAATAGCAGCTTAGAATTTACCAATCACTCTAATTAACTCAGAATAGGGCCGTGAATGTAATAGAATATTACATAAACTTTTATTGAACACATATTATTTCTTTAATATTATTCTTTTATTTATTCTTTTAGGATACTTACTATCTGTATTTGGTGAATGAAATGAAAAAAAAAGTGTATTCATTATACATATAATCAACTGTATGATTTGACTCCTTTCCTTTGAAAGGTGACAAGGTCGTCAAGAAAATATTTAATATCGCCAATTGAAAAAAACAGAAAGTCGTAATTAAAACTCAAACTTAATCAAATAAAGTCAGAGTATTAAAGCCCAAATTTACACCGTACCAACGGAGAACAAGACCATGTGATCCAAAATGTTAAGCATCTTTTGTTAAGTCAACAGCACCAACAAAATCTATGTCAGTTAAACCAATGTAGCTTGACGAAATGAACCAATATAGCATAATAACGACCAATCGAACACATATATCTTTATATCATAAATGGAAATTTTAAAAACAGTAAAAGTGTATAATCATTGAGTTCATAGCCGGCCTCCAGTCTTCATTAGCATGCACCTCTCAAAGTAATGCCCTGAAAGATGTTCCACTAGTTGTCAACATTTACCAAGAGATTGATTGTGACATGTAAACAACATAAGTATAAGAACAGGAATGTTACTGTCTAGAAATGGAATATTCAAACGAGAGAAATTGGAATAACCATGTTTATCATTCAGCTACATGAAAAGCTGTCCCTGTAATATTTATAAAGGTCCTTTGCAACTGATTTTGTGGAAATGTTTGGTATGTTATAGATCAAAGACTGACCAAGAGTACAGATAACAGGTAAATACCAAACGATTTATGATTCATAGCCTCCTCTATTCCAAATCCAAACTGTAACCATTAGGTTTCATTTGTCAGTGGCTCATGACAAAAGTATTCAAATAATTGTTATGAAATAGTCATTTGACAGGCTTTTTTCATTTTCAATGTATCAATATTCCGGAAATAGCAAAACATGTCGTTTTTCGAACATAATACCTTTGGACTAGTGTTGTTGTCAATATCTCAATTGTTTTGATATATACTTTCCAAGTGCGTTTGATATCCTTATGGTTTCCATATTTCAACTCTGCATAAAGTAAAGTGATTTTAGATTTTGTCTATATCTAAATGGCAGTTCCCGACGAAGAAAACGAAAATAATCACGCTTTCGAAGTAGTTCGATATCTTTTCTCGTACATTTTTTTCCTCTGAAAATTTCGTACCTTCCTCGCACAACTAAAACTGCTACAAATTAGAAATACAAGTCATTCATATGATTTACACACAATGACAACATACGACTATGGTAGATACCTTCATTAAGAAAAGAAACAAACACGCCAATGATGGCATTGACCTTCAATTGTCAATATCTACAAAATAATCTACAGAGTAGTAATAAGGTCCCTGTTCAGCACTAAACGAAAGGGTAACGTCACTACGGATATTCAATAGGGATTCAGTACCAAATTACAATAGTTGAATCGTCCTGTTGATGACCTAGAAGTCGACAAAATATTCAGCTAAGAACTCGTAAAGCAATTAGCAAATTATGATAGTACATTTTGTGCGTCTAATATAGCAACCGAGGGTTGTCACCTAACAAAGTAAAATATCATATGAAT